ATTCCTTCCTTCCATCCTTCTTTCTAAACTCCTAGACTGGCCATCTAGCAGTCAGAACACCTATGCCTGGTAACTTAACACCTGTGAACGTAAGTGTGTAGGGGAGAGAGCTCTTGGATTTTCTGAACTCTATTAAATAAATGTGGTTGTTTTGCCTTTGATCCTTATTTAATGCCTTATTTTAATGGTTAGTTCAGCCTCCCGGGACACTGTAAGGTAAAGGTAAAGGGACCCCTGACCATTAGGTCCAGTCGTGACCGACTCTGGGGTTGCGGCGCTCATCTCGCTTTATTGGCCGAGCGAGCCGGCGTACAGCTTCCGGGTCACGTGGCCAGCATGACTAAGCCGCTTCTGGCAAACCAGAGCAGCACACAGAAACGCCGTTTACCTTCCCGCCGGAGCAGTACCTATTTATCTACTTGCACTTTGACGTGCTTTTGAACGGCTAGGTTGGCAGGAGCAGGGACCGAGCAACGGGAGCTCACCCCGTCGCGGGGATTTGAACCGCCGACCTTCTGATTGGCAAGTCCTAGGCTCTGTGGTTTAACCCACAGCTCCACCCGTGTCCCTTCCCGGGACACTGTACTCGACCTTAAAGTGGCCACTGGTGAGCAAAGGCACTCCAAAGGGAGACCGAAACATGAATTACAGTTCATCGACAGGTTCAATAGGTGAACAACATGTGAATTAAATTGGCTCATTTCTTTTCTTAAAAAACAACAACCCACACTACTTGTGTTAAATAGGCTTACCAATGCTAGGATGTTTGTGTTATCAACTACTCTTTTGTGTGGTGTCACTGTTAATAAGGTAATTGTCACCGCCTGTACTTTTCTGCACTTCATTTCCTTCTGACCTCACTGTTTACACCCTCCCCACTTGTACATATGTGTACCTGGAACTGAAGATAACACTTCATGCATCTGATGAAGTGGGCTGCAGTCCATGAAAGTTTATTCCACGATAAATTTGCTAAAGGTGCCAAAAGACTTTGTTGGTTTTGCTGCAAGCAACTACCGTGGCTGCTACTCTTTATTCGTAACAGAAGCACCATCTCCATTTTTAAACTAACCACAGTTTGTAATTTCGTCCTATCCACCAATTGCACTTAAGCTATTGTTCACCTGAACAAGCCAAGATCATAAACTGTAGTATAACATGGTTTTGTTCGGACAAACCATAGTTTAAACTAGCCCCAGTTTGTCCCAGTTTGGACGAAACAACGAATTCTAGTAAGTTGAAACAGAAACAGATGCTCCGAACCTCCTTCTTGCAGCCATGTCAGAGAAGGAGAGGGGAGAGGAGGGTGTTTGGTGTCATGTCTGAACGCAGCCATTGTCCATTGACCATGCCCCACGCTGCTATTAGTATGGGCTGTTAAGTGCCTGCATGAATATTCACAGTGTGGTCCTGCTCTTACACTGCCATGGGAGTCTGGAGATTATGCTCTAAGGATTTGCTCTGTGAAGTCTGACATTCCTTTTTTGCTTTTATCTAAGTATAAACAAAAGATAAGTCCTACTGAAGCCAGACTTCCTGTTTTACATTTTTTAAAAAAAAATCTGCCAAAAGGTCTCTCTCTCTCTCTCTCTCTCTCTCTCTCTCTCTCTCTCTCTCTCTCTCTCACACACACACACACACACACACACACACGAGACAGAGAGAGAGAGACTAAACTCCCCTCTAAAGCTGTTGGGGGCATAGCATAACCTCTACAGATAAAGCAAAGTCTGCCTCCGTGAAAGGCATGCTCAGTGCATGAGATTTGAACACGGATACTAAAATTACAACCCTAGTTAGTTTCATACAAAAGGAACTTTCAAAGCAAGTGGCTTCAATTCAATTAAAACCAACCTGTTTGATTGTGCACACCCATAGTTCATGCCATAATCTCCATTTTTGATATAACCTGCCCCTTGTTGTCGCAGCACATGCATTCTGCATGTGCATTATGGGGCCTGTAGTCCTAAAGATGCACAAACATTTGTCCCTGTGAATTAATATTCAACTGAGGCCACAACCAGTGGAGCAGGGATGAAGTGCTACTACTACTTATTTCACAGCAAGGATGACGATGCTGTCTGCACATTTTATGCATGCCAAATAAACAAGCCTCTTTTTTTGTATTGAATTCACATTTTAAAAAGCTTACCTATAGGCCCTCTTTGGAGCTCTGGTGCTTCATCCAACAAGCAGGGAGCTTAAATGAGGATGGAGTGGATGGGAGGACGTGGGAAAATCTGGAGAACTCAGTTTTGACTCTGGGTTTCCCATTCTCTACCAAATAAAAAAGGTGAGCAAAGGGCAGTTCCTATAGTCTTATTTCAACATCTTTATATTTCCTTTTAGCGGGGTTGAATAAATCTGAAGTAAGTGAGATAAGCCTGGTTTAAGGAAGTTCTGATAACAGCCACATTTGCTTTGGGCTTTTGAAACACGAGAAATTTATTTTGTCCCAATAATCAACTGCTGCCTTGAACAGCCCAAACTGTCTATGTCTTGGGCTGGGGATGTGGAAGACACTGCTGAGAAATTTCATAAAACTTATAATGCTGTTTTCAACTTCCCTCGAATTTTCTGTTGCCTTCTAAATTTGCTTGAGACAAAATTAAGTGGTGACTCCACTGAATCTGGTCTTTAAATATTTATTACACTTTTGTATCGGTAGATTAGAAGCTGCTTTATACCATACATAAGGAACACGGGTGGCGCTGTGGGTTAAACCACAGAGCCTAGGACTTGCCGATCAGAAGGTCGGCGGTTCGAATCCCCACGACGGGGTGAGCTTCTGTTGCTCGGACCCAGCTCCTGCCAACCTAGCAGTTCGAAAGCACGTCAAAGTGCAAGTAGATAAATAGGTAACGCTGGCGGGAAGGTAAACGGCGTTTCCGTGCGCTGCTCTGGTTCGCCAGAAGCGGCTTAGTCATGCTGGCCACGTGACCCGGAAGCTGTACACTGGCTCCCTCGGCCAATAAAGCGAGATGAGCGCCGCAACCCCAGAGTCGGCCACGACTGGACCTAATGGTCAGGGGTCCCTTTACCTTTTTATACCATACATGAACAAAACAAAATAAGACTTTTAATCTGGATTCCTTGCACTCTCTCAGCATAGCCAAAGGGTTAGATACTGACTTAGTTGAGATTGTTTCATTGACATCAATCTGCAGGGATGGCTCAGTTGGTAGAACGTGGGTCGTGAGTTCGAAACTTACATTGGGCAAAAAGATTCCGGCATCCCAGGGGATTGGACTGGGTGATCCTTAGGGTCCCTTCCAACTCTATAATTCTAGGGTTCTAAGTAAAGCCCATTGGCATTTTGACTCTGGGGGGAAATGTAGGGTATAAATAAATATCACCACCACCATCATCAGTGGGGACAAAGTTCAACTAATCTACTCTGGATTCGATTCAAATATCTGGTGCAAAAGCTGGAGTTGAGCAGGGAATAATAATAATATATATTCCTTGGAACTCTGCCTTGCAGTCAAGAAACAATAACTTTTCACATTTTAATAGTCTCCATTGCTCATGCAATCATGCCAAGAAGAGTAATGCTACTGACCACAGCTTAATGTTATTTCATATTGGGTTGTAAGAAATACGACTGTTTCCATGTCAAACGGAGGTCATTCTGACCACTGGTGACTCTGGGGATAATTTTAGTGGCGCGTGTTTTTCTTCTTCCTAGTTACAATTTTTTGGTTAAGCAGAAGGAGTGGATGCTGCACACCCACAAATCTCCCAGGGACTTTAGAGAATAAAGAATCTAATCTGCTTTTGGAAAGGGCTGTAGCTCAGTGCTGGGTTCAAGCCCCAGCATCTTCAGGTAGGGCTTGGAATACCCCAAATCAGGAATACCCCACAGAGCTAAATAGACTAAAGGTCCAACTTGGTATAAGGTAGGTTTCTATATTCCTAGGGCCACGTTCCATATTTCTAACAAATGGTGTGCTTCCAACTATCAGATTTGTAGCATGCAGTGCTCAAGCCAAAGAAAGTTAAGGAAGTAGCAAGAAGAAGCTTTATAATTATAATAATAGCTATGGGCATTTCCATCCTATTGGGAAAGGTACAGGCTTGCTGGAAAAGGATTTCGGCTTCATCAACCTAGTCCACCCCTCAGCACTGTGAGTGGTTGCTGCCCCATTTGTTGGCATCTGTCTCTGGAGACAATGGAGTACACCTTTGCAGGTGAAGTTCAACCCCTGGAGAATCATAGCACCTGCTGTGGCTGCAGAGGCCAGTATCTCATAACTGCTGCTTCCCATGTTGTTTTTGCTGCATTAGCAGCACCAAAGTGTTCTCTCTGGGGTGCAAGCCTGGGCAGTGTGTGTGGAGGTCCTGGGCTGCCCAGATGACAAGACCTCTCGGCCTTGCAGATGCGGTCCAAAGGAAAGCAGAGCATTTGGCACCAGCTTGGTTGCAGGAGCTGCTGGAAGGAGGCGTACAAGGCATCAACCAACTGCCTTAGGGACTCCACTCTGGATTTGTGTAGGGTTTAGCCTTTTCGTCTCCCTAATATGTCCCACAAGGCAGCAAGTACAGATTTTTTCTTCTGTAAGGTAGTGGAGGTTTAAGATCAGAATTTTCCTTCTCCTAGGTAGGCTAGGAGGTTGGCCACCTCATGAGAAGAGAAGACTCCCTGGAAAAGACACTGATGTTGGGAAAGATTGAGGGCACAAGGAGAAGGGGATGACAGAGGACAAGATGGTTGGACAGTGTTCTCGAAGCTACCAGCATGAGTTTGACCAAACTGCGGGAGGCAGTGGAAGACAGGAGTGCCTGGCGTGCTCTGGTCCATGGGGTCACGAAGGGTCGGACACAACTAAACAACTAGAACACAAAAAGTACTACAAGGCATCTACAAATCTGAAGCTGCAATGTTAAAATGAAAACAATTGTGGAACATCTCATGCACAGCTCATCTCACAATTGTACAAAACTGGAAAACAATGTTGAATGTTAATGTCTCGAATTGGTGGCATAACTTATTGCAGTACAAGAGATACCAGGGATCAAACTTGGGAGCTTCTGTGTGAAAAGCAGATGCTCTGCTACTAAGCTACAACTCTTCTAAAGATCAGCTAGTGGGGTGACTTCCAGTTCTGAAGAAGGGAGGTCCAGATTCAACAGCTCTTCAGAGTCACTGGCCGTGTGGAGGCCTAATGCAGGGAGGTTCTCCTCCTTCTCCTTGGGTGCGGCTGAGTCCCAACAGTGGATTTTCAGGTGCTTGCATGAGATGTGGTTCTTAAATTATGGAAGCATTTTCTCACGAATTCTTTATTGTTTTCCTCCTTATTCATCCAAGCACTAGCAGCAGAAGACAAAATTTCAGGAGGTGCCCCTTGTTATATTATAATATGGGGAGCTGGCTTCAGCTTGCAAAAATTTCCTGTTCTAAACACCTGTTAAAAATATAGGAAACCTATTGTTTGAAGTTTGGCCATCATTACTGCCACTGCTATCATTTGTAAAATGAATGAGTAGGAATAATGACATACCCTTTTGCTAATGCACTTATATTTTGCCCAGTACCATTCCCCATGAGGTTCCTGAAACTAACGTAATTATCTTAGACTTGGCATCAATGCAGTTAATATAGAAAAATACAATTCATTTTTCTCATCTCCGAAACTTTGTTCCACAGAGAGACCATTATACCCTTGCAAATTTCATGCAGTTCTTCTCCAATATCTACAAATCGCAGACCTCCTTAGCCTCAAACCACCTGATTCTTATTTTCTACTTCTTCATAAATCTTTTTTTAAAAAAACCTTTATGATATCTGGGACTCATAACAGATGGGATGTTTGCCAGGTGGAGTACAATGGAAGGAAATGAAAGATAAAAAATGATTGGGCAGGAATTAAACAGGAGATGAAATTACTCTCAAGTGGTTTGGCCAAGAAAGAGGATCTTTATTTTTGGAATACAAAATAAAATATAGATTTTAAAGACTGAATTTTAGGGGGGATTTTTTTAGGTAGGGAAGAGCTCCTATAGATAAGATGATATCTACCCTCTATTTATGTTCCAAAGCACTACATATGTCCCAGTCATTTTAAGTCCTGCTGCTATTCTTGGAACCACATCACGACTGAAGGAGGTTTGCTGACTCTGAAATAGATAAATCTTACTAAAATGACTGCATGGTAGCAGACAGATAAAGTGGCTCAGGATGAGGTTGAGAGGAAAAGTAACTGAATAGCAGAAGACTAGCATGTCCTCTTGAACTATGGCTAGCGGTGAACTATTCCTTGCTTGGAGATTATCACTGCACCTTCTTCACAGTCTCTGGCTACCATTACAGACGCATGAAGCATCATGGGAGCCACTTTAATGAGATCTCACAGAAGCAGGGAAAGAGTACAAATTAAGCAGCCACATGGGCAGAGACCATACTGTGGGTGTGATGAAGACAGCCTCTGTCTGCGGCACATACTGGACGATTGCTGTCTCCCACATGAATTCAACATTTATTAAGGCTTGTGGATGGGTTCTTGTCCTAACTCTGGAGCTTGATAAAGAAGGCAAGGACAGTCACCCCCACTGTGTTCACAGTCCTCCTCTGTCTCTGTTTCTAATTTGCTCCTGCTGACTCCCAAATCCTACCATATCTTTGGGCAGAACCCCTTCAACCTGTGTTGGTCCCTTGCTGGGCTGCAAAGCTGAGTCGGATCTATGGCGCTGTGGTCTAAATCACTGAGCCTCTTGGGCTTGCCGACTGGAAGGTCGGCAGTTCGAATCCCTGCAATGGAGTGAGATCCTGTTGCTCTGTCCCAGCTTCTGCCAACCTAGCAGTTCGAAAGTATACCAGTGCAAGTAGATAAATAGGTACTGCTGTGGCAGGAAGGTAAACGGTGTTTCGGTGCGCTCTGGTTTCCATCACGGTGTCCCATTGCACCAGAAGCGGTTTAGTCATGCTGGCCACATGACCGGGGAAGCTGTCTGTGGACAAACGTTGGCTCCCTCAGCCTGAAACTTAACCATCCAGGGGTCCTTTACCTTTTTCTTTTTATTTTACAGTAAGTCCAGTTGTGGCTTCAATGTTTATTCCCTGATTATTTTTTAAAATAATATTTGTTGAATTTTGTTCAGCAGAAAAACTAAAATAAGAAAGGAAACAGAAAATATAACCAAGAATTGCTGGCGTGAGAGGCCAGAGGTAGAATAAAGTAGATCACAGAATCACAGAAGTGACCATGAGGATCATATGGTCCAGGCATCCCCAACCTTCAGCCCTCCAGATGTTTTGGACTACAATTGCCATCATCCCTGACCACTGGTCCTGTTAGCTAGAGATCATGGGAGTTGTAGGCCAAAACATCTGGAGGGCCACAGGTTGGGGATGCCTGATCTAGTCCAACCCCCTGCAATGCAAGAATACTTATTTGTCCAATGTGGGGATTGAACCCATGAGCTTAATATTAATATTCTCATGCTCTACCAATTGAGCTATCCCAGCTGAGCTATCCAGGTTAGGCTGATGCTTAGTCAACTCCAGGCATTTGGTTTTTGTTCAAAATAAAACAAATCTATTTTAGTTCAACAGATTTGCAGCCTCCAGCAATGAAGGAGGGCTTGGAACCCTTTTCTCAGATAAGCTTTAGATGAAGGTGGAGACAACAGCATGTTCAAAACTAACCCCTTTAAATGTTTTTCCATTGGGAGAAATTTCCTGACAATGACAGCAGTGTTGCAACACAACAGGCATTCTCGCAAGGGTGATATTTAAACAGAAGTAGCTGAATGGTCCTCTGTCAGGGACAGTGCAATTGCAACCTGCATTGTAGAAATGCCATTGAGTAAGGGGTGGCTAAATAACCTCTAAGTTCACTTCCAACTCTGTAATTCTTTTTTGTTTAAAAGCTCTAATTCAGATTACAATAATAGTTTGCAAAAGTGACTTACAGAATACAAGGACATGATCACAATTAGCAATTAAATAATTTTACAAAATAAAATAGTGCAAAAACTTAGGGTATTTATATATAGAATGTTATGGTTCTGGGTACTTTGGCATATTTCTTTGGAACACTAGTGTGACTTCCCTGAGACAGCTCTAATGCTATCAGTGGGTAATGATTTTGTTCTTTTGCAGTAGATGATGTTGCCTCTTTAATGATTTTTAAAACTCACAAATCAGGGCTCATAATACATGTTTCAGGCTATAAATTACACCTATTGGATGGTGTAAGACCACAATTTTAAATAGACAAGCCAATGGTTGGATTGGGAACTATAAATGCATAAAGATCTTGGGGAAATCTGAACTTCATTAGTTAAGATTCTGAGGGAGCTCCCTGTGCAGACTGATATGAAGATTAATGCCAGCTCATCTGACATCATTCCTATAAATCTCATAGCAAATAAAACTTCCTTAATAGATGTCTTGATTCCATCGAAATATAACATCACCGCACAGAGAAGAACATAAATTTCAGTTACCATCGGGTGTAGAATGAGCTCAAAATATCTGGAAAGCAGATATTGAAGAAATTCCCATAGTCATCAGAACCACCGAGGTACCACAAAACAGTATGTTCAAAATTTGACCCATTTTTTGGGATTTATTTTATTTGGAAGCCAGCCACAAGACACATGGTATTATTTGTTAGCTGGATCTAGTGTTGAGAGGCACAGAAACTATACCTGAGTTTCTTAGCAGATCCTGACAATGACCAGAACACCAAAAGCAACGCTTTGGCTCTGGTTCACCTGCCTGAAAATTGCTAACCATGACAATTACAACATTAATAAGAACTCATTATGATCATAGTGTATACAGCGTTTGCCAGATACAGCTCCTTTTGGACAGAAATGACTTGGCCACTCTGCTCTGTGGTCTTGTATCTTCCAGAATGGATTACTGCAATGTTTCCAAGCTCCTCATGTGAGCTGCCCTTGAACCGACAACATGGACCTCACTTCACGGTGCCCGTTTCTGCAAAATAAAGCTTGAGCCACTCAACTGCATTGGGCCTCTTTTGTTATGTGGACTGAATGCATAAATGATGAACATACCCTCCAACGTTTCTGAGATGAAAATAGGGGCATTCTATTTTACATCAGGAAGCTTCTCCCGCATTTGATCTCGCCGCACACATATTTGTCATATACATGTATACACCAGTCACATTGAGCCAATTGCAATTTCTCTGCCAAACCTACCTCACAGGATTGTTGTAAAGAAAAAATGTGTGTGGATCACGTACAACACCTTCCACAGATAAATGGAATGAAATAAAATTTTAGCTGTAAGCTGCCTTGAGTCCCTGTCTGGGGAAAAGGCGGGATATATTCATCATCATCATCATCATCATCATCATCATCACAAACATACCAGGCAGTAAATCTTATTGAACTCACTGGGACTTAGTTCTGAGTAAAAATGTTCAGGACTGCAGTGTAAGGCTGTGAATACAGTGGGACTTTTGAGTAGAAAGTGTAAGGCTCCATTTACAATAATGGAATAAACACCCCCATGTGTTTCCTACAAATGGTAGGAAAGCCATGCTAAAGCATTGCAATTAAAGAATGTTAAGAGGATTGGTTGCATGTCCCTCCAAAATTATAGGAAGGGCTACGAATGCCAGCTTGACAGTTTCCTTCTTTTGGTGCAGGTATTTTATTTTCAGTATAAACAGGACTCCATTTTTGCAACTACACACACACCTACACACACCCTGTTTCCAAAAATGTCTCATCTCTCCACCACTTTTAATTGAGACAAAGGAGGGGAGGAAAAAGGAAGGTGTTATGTACTAAGCTTGGATCCTAGAGCAATAGGCAAGTAGGATCCTACAATGCAACAACTGATTGGTCTGCAGGAAAAGACCAATCAGGCTCCAGGAGGGAAGCAGAATCAGCCAATCAGACGGGACTCGTGTAAATAATGTATATAAAAGCCTGAGGTTTGGGGGGCAATTCTGTCACTGTTTTACAAGCTGCAATAAAGAGCATGAAATCACTACAGGACTCTGAGTATATTTCAGAAAAGCAAGACATTCCGAGATCAAATCAGAAACTGGGATGGCTTCTGTCATTCCAGGACCGTCCCTTGAAATTTGGGACACCTGGAGGGTGTGGCTTAACTGTTTATGGGAATGAGCCACCGCGGAGCATAGGTGTCATGCCTGCTAATGAGCCTCAGATTAAGCCCAGTGTCCTGGGACGTTGACCCTCAGTTGATTTCCAGTAAAGAGTTTGTATTTCATAGCCTCGAAAATCCTTTTTTAACAGCAGTATTTCTGTGGACAGCTTAGTCAGCTGTTAGTGACTCCTTTATTCCAACACGGCTGCTGTAAGGTATAGATTTCCCTTGTAGCTCCCGGTAATGAGGTTCCCAGTATTGCTTCCTTGCCGTGATGCATTATGCATGGTGAATGAGCAGAGGTGAGAGCTGATTCCCCAGGAGCAAGTTTGATGGCTCCTTCTGATTTTGTAATTCTGCATATTTTGCAACCATATCTCCATAGCTCGTGTTGCTTCCGTAGGAAATCGGGTGTGCCTTAAAAGAACCAAGGTTTAGCCCTGACTTTTTGTTAGGTGGCCATACGATTTATCTTGCTACTTTTGAATGTGAACAAAGAACTATGAGGCTAACTAGAATCACATGTTGCTTAGAAAACCAACATTTTTTTGGGGGGGGGGGCAGGAATCAATCACGATTGCTTCCCAGCAAATCTGGAAATGAGGCATTTCCTAGCCAATCTGGAAATGTGGTTATGTGTTGTTGTTTTTATCACTGTTGGCATTCATTAGTTGTTGCTAATGTCTTCGGATTGAAAACAGAACAAATGACTATAAATTCCCTGTGCTGCGAAGAATTAAAAGGCGGAGGGGACCTGACTCCCCACCTCCAATCAAATAAGTGGGGCTGTGGTTCCCGTTCTACAATAGCTTTAATGTTATAGCTGATACAGTGGTCTAAAATTAACAAGTTGAAATTTGGGGCTAAATGTAAATTCTTGCATTTAGGGTGCTGTGGCTTAAACCACAGAGCCTAGGGCTTGCCGATCAGAAGGTCGGCAGTTCGAATCCCCGCGGCGTCCCTGCTCCTGCCAACCTAGCAGTTCAAAAGCACCTCAAAGTACAAGTAGATAAATAGGTACCACTCCGGCGGGAAGGTAAATGGCGTTTCCGTGCGCTGCTCTGGTTCGCCAGAAGCGGCTTAGTCATGCTGGCCACATGACTCGGAAGCTGTATGCCGGCTCCCTCGGCCAATAAAGTGAGATGAGCGCTGCAACCCCAGAGTCGGTCACGACTGGACCTAATAGTCAGGGGTCCCTTTACCTTTACCTTACATATGTAAAACAAAAGGCACAAGTATAGGACAGGGAAGACCTGATTTGGCAACACCACACATGACAAGGATCCAGGTACTCGGTGGATCACAAGCTCAACATGAGCCAGCAGTGTGATGCTTTGGCTAAAAAAGCTAATTCAAACTTAAGCTGTGTTAAGTGAGAATTCATATCTTTCCTCTATTCTGTGCTGGTCAGACTGTTTCACTGTGTCCATTTTCAGGACATGGGCAAAGTGCAGGGTCTGGAAACTAAGTCCTGTGAGAAATAGTTGAAAGATTTGGGAATGTTTACCCTGCATAAGAAAAGATGAAAGGGAGAAATGATAGTGGCCTTCAAATATCTGCAGGGCTGTTAGCACAGAAGATGGAATAGATTTGATTTCTGTTGCTTCAGCTGGCAGGACGATGGGTAGAACCAATGGGGAGAAATTGCAGAGAAGCATATTTCAGCTGGGCATTTGGATAAACTCCCTAATGTTAAGAGCTGCTCAATAGGGGAATGAGCTTGGAAGGTGGCAGGTTTTCCATCTCTGGAGGTACTGAGGTAGAGTCTGGATTATCATCTGCCAGGGATGTTGAAGTTACATTCTGTACTGAGCATGGGGGTTAACAGAAGACCTTCAAGATGCCTTACAATTCTCTGATTTTGTTGTTGTTGTTTAGTCGTTTAGTCGTGTCCGACTCTTTGTGACCCCTTGGACCAGAGCACGCCAGGTACTTCTGTCTTCCACTGCCTCCTGCAGTTTGGTCAGACTCATGCTGGTAGCCTCGAAAACACTGTCCAACCATCTCGTCCTCTGTCCCCCCCTTCTCCTTGTGCCCTCCATCTTTCCCAACATCAGGGTCTTTTCCAGGGAGTCTTCTCTTCTCATGAGGTGGCCAAAGTATTGGAGCCTCAGCTTCACAATCTGTCCTTCCAGTGAGCACTCAGGGCTGATTTCCTTAAGAATGGAGAGGTTTGATCTTCTTGCAGTCCATGGGACTCTCAAGAGTCTCCTCCAACACCATAATTCAAAAGCATCAATTCTTCAGCGATCAGCCTTCTTTATGGTTCAGCTCTCACTTCCATACATCACAACTGAGAAAACCATAGCTTTAACTATATGGACCTTTGTTGGCAAGGTGATGTCTCTGCTTTTTAAGATGCTGTCTAGGTTTGCCA